CGCAAGGTCAGCGGAAACTCTGCAAGGTTCTATCTTTTCTATGCTCAAGGTGGTGGCGACGATAAGAAATGGGTCCCCGATTTCGTTCGTGTCTTTAAGGAGTTCATCCTCAAGTACGGCAACCCTGATATGGGTAGTCTCGGTATCAGCTTCCAAGTCAAGCTTGATCTTGCTACGTGGTACAAGATATTTGATGCTTTCGATGCGCTCGAGACTGACCCACAGTTCAAGCCCTACAACATAGTCCTTGATGTTACGATGAACTATTACAACACTGACAGGATACTGGTGGACCAGATTATGTTCAGGGCTGATCACGTTACTCTGCTTACCTTCGCCAACACCTCCCCGCGACTTATCAACTTTTTCGTAGCCTTCCTGACCAAAATTTGTCCCAACTGTAACAATAACTACTATCCCAATTACAAGGCTAAGATCACTTTTTTGGCCGAAGGTGATTGCAACTCGGGAGCCTGTAGTAAGACGTCGATGTGTGCTTACTACGGTGATCGCCTTACCGACCCCAAGGGAGGTATCCTCTACGCTTACAATCAGCTTTCGACTGCTCTCGACTATGTTCGTGATCATGTTCTGTCTAAGGATAAATTTGATCACTTCTTTGAAGCCGGTGGTACACATATCGGTCTTAGCTCCTTCTCGTGGGTCATGTGTTACTACGGCTCCGAGTCGTGGCATCAGATTGGCCTACAAAAGTGTATGTCCGACTACCACTCCGCTTCACAGATATGCCGTCAAGGTTAAATACCCTTATGTCTCGAAAATTATTTTGAGCGCGCGCGCCCAAAAACAAGAAGAACGTAGGCTTAGGTTTTCGCTATCTCGACTCGGTGTCAGCTAGTTTAACTGAACTCAAGGATAGGGTACAAGGATAATGAGGGGGGATGCGTAATTTAAGCTACACTCGGGACTTGGGTAAATCATCGAGTAGACGAGAAGCATGGTCGGTGAGGGCTTGTGATAAGGTGTGGTCTCGAGAAGGTGCCGACCAACGCAAACGACAGTCCCTCCTATGGTTATTCTGAAGGAAACGACATAAATCAGCGGAATGAAGGACTCCTGAATCCATGAAGAGGCAAGATACTCTCCTCAGAGCTCAAAAACCTACACTATGGCAGAAGGGAACTGAGAGGACCATGGATTGCAGGGCCTACGATGGTAGACGTTATGTTATTGTCACGACACGCATCGATACGCTCGATAGCAGCGCTGAGGGGGAGTTCCAGGAGGAGTAGGCCAACAGCAGTCGGGAAATCCTGAACGTACCATGGTTACTTCCAAGGCTGAGAAGAGGTGTACCTCTCTATAAGTGAGCAGCCTTTTAGTGAGCTTGTTGAGAGGATCGATCCACGTTGGCTCGTCATCATGGCAGCTCAATCTGCTTCCATCGACGAGATCGACAAGACGATGAATGGCTCGCGACAAAGGGAGGAGACTCTCGCATGATGATGCTGTCCGACCTAACGAAAGCGTTTAATCTACAGCAACTCTTTTGGTGAGTCGATAGTAGCAGTAGTATCCTCGATGGCTCATAGCCTAACGTCATCCCTTAAAGATGTT